TTTTGGAAAAGCAAGGCTATGTGAAATTCAATGGAAACGTCAGCTCAACTCATATCATTGTGGGAAAATTACACTACCAGTCCTTCATCACCTTACACGAAATAGGGTGAATACATCTCATTACAATAATTTACTGTTAGTCTCGAAACCCTACTCTAATACAATTTACTAATCCTTTCCATTCGCTTCTTCAAACGAAATAAAAGGTAATCAAGTTATTAAGGTATTTCTCAAAACTTAATTTTTCTACATTACCCAGCATATATATGTATATATGTGTGTGTGTTTTGGAAAAGGCCTGGTCTTCCTTGAAATTCACATCTACCCTGTCACCCGAGGGGACTCGTGGCAATGCGACTGAGTGGGTAACGTGCCGAGATAATATGCTGCACTGTCATGGTTCGAATGTCATTTGGAATGACGATAAGACCTAGGCTATGCGAAATTTAATGGGAACGTCATGTCTAGTCATTTTGTTCAGGGAAAATTCAACCACCAGTTCCCTTATCACCCTAGACGGAATAGGATGAATATATCTCACATTACTCCAATATGCTTGCCAAGCAAATGTAAGAAAAATAAATCCCATATCTTCTTCTCCAATCAAAATCTCTACTGCTTTTCGTTCAAAGTAGATTTCGAGACTATAATAGCTCAGAGTTTTTAGATATATTCACCCTAAGATCTACCGGTAGCCTTGAAGCCTACTTTTATAAGAAGTTAAGTGATGCAGTCGATTGTAATAACAACCACAGCAACCCACCACAAAAAGTATTATAGAAAAGGTCAGCCCTGCCATCTGATGGCAGGTAGACTTGTGTAGTATGTAAAATGTCTAGATCATATGCTGTATCATCACGGTTCGAGTCCCGCTGGGGGTGCTGAAGAGACTTTGGCGAGGTCGAAGCTGCAATCCACTCCTGCCTGGATGAGAATACCTTTTGGGAAGCAAGGCTATGCGAACTTCAACGAAAATGTGGGATTGATTTATATGATTGTGGGAAAATGCAAACACCAATCCTTCATAATCTTCGACAAACTATGATGAATACATCTCATATCTCTACTGATTCGCCTTTTAGGCACATCAGGAGCTAAATCACATTTCCAGGCTTTTTGAATGCCCAGCATGTGGACTGACGTTCCGAGACCTAGTCACCTGTCTTCATCACACAGTGAATCTTCACTCTCGGTTTCACTGGCGACATGAAGCTCTTCTCTCTTCCAAGCCAACACTGCATTACCCTGAACACCAGACAGCGACTGTTGGCTCTGCCTCCTACCCTCATGCGTCCGAGATGACCCCGATCAAATGGGCCCGTGTCGGCGAGATAAGACTTCAACTTGACCAGCGGCAGCGCTGGAGGCTACGCAATCGGCATAGGCGTCGACAGCAACCTCACCTCCAATCTCATCCTCATCCTCATCCTCACCATCGTCAACATCAACACCAAGAAGCCCATCAACCCAGGGAGCCTCAACCCTCCTACCAACAGTGCTCACGAAAGGACAAACAACAAATAGTACAGCCAGACTCTCAGCGATGCCAGCAGTTGCGTGAAAAGAGGGACTCTCATTCTTGGCCAAAACACCAGGTCCTTTTGGGTAGTCATCTGCAGTCGCAAAGCCTTCACCAATTAAAAGAGACGTCTCTACCTTCGCCTGCAGATGAGCCGCCTCCGAAAGCGTCCTCTTCGGTCGGTACCCTCAGAGCAGAACCCTCCCCACGGGCTCTCAATTTCACCAGCATGGCCTACTTGTCCACAGCCGCCTCGTCGGCTTCTTGTCTGTCCACTTCTCTTTTTCCCACCTCGATATCACCTCCCACCACCATGCCGCTGCCAGTTTTCAATTCTTCCTCGGGCCTCTTCCAATCCTTCAACTCACTGATTGACCTTCTGCCTCAGAACAGTTCTCTCAACCCCACACTGCTGTCGCTACTTTTCTACATTCTCACTGGGTTGCCAGATGTCCGATCTTGCCGGGACTCGGCCCAACCCCCGGGTCTGGCCGACCAGCCTCCTCAGGTCATCTCGTCTTTCGCTGCTCCTCTCGCCCGATCCCACCTGCCCGAGGCAAATCCGTCAAGCACCGAGATCACCAACTTTGAAGCCCTCGGCCAAAAGTCTGACCAAAGGAGCCGATCTTCTTCGCCCCTAGAGACAGAATCCGAGCTGACCCGGCCGATCTGTTCGACCGTCGAGGCCACGGCCGACTTTGACGAGGCAACCGTCCGCGGCCGGGCTTACAGTCTTCATACTACCAGTCGGGAAAGTCGTCAGGACGGCACATTACTTGGTTATGGACTGACAAAGTCAGAGCAGACGTGGATAACTAAGGCATCTACGAGGGAAACAGCCCCTGTGTCGCCAGGGCAATTGACCCCGTCCCGGTGCACCCACAGCCTTGAGTCATGTTTGTGCTCCACCCCCTCTTCAGACGGGACAAGCCTTTCAGAAGAGCCATCTTACCTCCCATCAAGAGAAAAAGCGGCACCAAATGTTGCCCTAACAACTGATCTC